ATGAGAAAAGGGTGAGACACGTGTTGGGGAAACTGAGGAAGTTCTGTATGGCAAGAAAGGAAGACAGAGAGGGTGGTGAGGGAGTCAGTTTGAAGAGTTTGGTATCAGGGACCTCATTTTTTGTGAACAACAGGAAGCCAACAAAAAGTTTTCAGCCAGCGGATAGCAAGACAGCATTTGTAATTTAGAAAGATCCCGGCCGGGCGCAGTGGCTCACACCTATAATCCCAGCACTTTGGGAGGCCAAGGCGGGTGGATCATGAGGTCAGGAGATCGAGACTATCCTGGCTAACGTGGTGAAACCCCATCTCTACTAAAAATACAAAAAAATTAGCCAGGCATGGTGGCAGGCGCCTGTAGTCCCAGCTACTCAGGAGACTGAGGCAGGAGAATGGCGTGAACCCGGGAGGCGGAGCTTGCAATGAGCAGAGATTGCACCACTGCACTCCAGCCCAGGCGACAGAGCAAGACTCCATCTCGAGAGAAAGAAAGAGAGAAAGAGAGGAAGGAAAGGAAAGGAAGGAAGGAAGGAAGGAAGGAAGAAAGAGAGAGAAAGAAAGAGAAAGAGAGAAAGAAAGAAAGGAAGGAAGGAAGGAAGAGAGGGAGAGAGGGAGAGAGGGGGAGAGAGAGAGAGAGAAAGAGACAGAAAGAGAGAGAGAGAGAAAGAGAGAGAGAAAGAGAGAGAAAGAGAAGACAGAAAGACAGAGGAAGGAAGGAAGGAAGGAAGGAAGGAAGGAAGGAAGGAAGGAAGGAAGGAAGGAAGGAAGGAAGGAAGGAAGGAAGGAAGGAAGGAAGGAAGGAAGGAAGGAAGGAAGGAAGGAAGGAAGGAAGGAAGGAAGGAAGGGAAAGATCCCACTGACTGTGGCCTAGCAAGTAGACAGGAACTAGGGAGTGAATGGGAAGCAGGGAGACCAGGCAGAAGGCTGACACCATGGTCCAGGCAGAGGCAGTGATGGCCGTGGCATTTTCCTGGATTTTCACTGTCTACAGGGCAGGTCTGAACACCTCAGTGTGTCCCCTCAGGAGCTCCTCTTCCTCTGGTGGCAGCTCTTTGACTCTGCTTTGGGAAACTCCCCACCACCATTTTGCTTGGATGTGTCAACCCAGATGCTCCACCCTCTTCTGGCCAATCGGAAGTGTTCTCCTAGAATTTCTGAACCTTGGGCACAGGGGATTGGTGTTTTCTCATTTCTTCCTGAAGAGACCTCCACCCACTCAAAGCTCCTGCCCCCCAGATACCCCAGGACCCGGCCTTTCCACGGTCTGGTTCTTCAGGTCTTTCCTTGATCCCTTCTGCTTGCCAGAGTCAGTTCTGTGGCTTATGATTAGCTCTCTCCTTCTAGTGCCTCTTCTGCCCCTTCTCCAGCTGCTGGGCTCCTACTCCCTTTCCAAGATCTACCTCAAAGCGTACTCCTTCACAAACCACCCTGCCAGGCAGAGTGTCTCCATTGCTGGGACCCCATAGGACGCTCTTCTGTAGCACCAGTCATTCAAGCTTTTTGCTTTCCCTCCATTCCCATTGGATGGGGTCACTCCTTACAGGCTATGGCCCATCTTTGTCTCCCCAGTGCCCTACCCTGAGCTGGCACATAGCAGGGGTCCAGTGGGTGTTTGTTGAATGACTAAGAGAAGTCATTAGTGATCTGCTCTCCCATAGGTTCAGATTTCATACCATGGACCCAAGACTCCACCAGTCAAAGCTCTACTCTATCTCACCGGGGTGGGTAAGTGACAACCAGGATCCTAGAGTGCTGTCTCATCCCCTACCCACCTCCTAATCCCTGCAGGATGTCTCTGTAGGAGAAACTATACCTGGAGCTTATTTTACACTGAGCAGAGGAAAAGCATGGTTTCCAGCCAGTCAGACATCTGGGAGTTCAGAAATATTCCATCCCTAGTCAGTGAACCACAAAGAAATACAATGTGGGAGTGGTGGTGTGGGGAACTTTAATTACATCTTAACATTTTATTTTTCAAGTTAGGAAGTAGGTACATGGATTTTTCAATATATGCATCTCCATTCCTTTTTTTTTGAGACAGAGTCTTACTCTGTCACCCAGGTTGGAGTGCAGTGGTGCAATCTCGGCTCACTGCAACTTGTGCCTCCTGGGTTCAAGCGATCCTCCCGCCTCAACGTCCCTAGCAGCTGGGACTACAGGTGCACACCACCACGCCCGACTAATTTTTTTATTTTTAGTAGTAACGGGGTTTCACCATGTTGGCCAGGCTGGTCTCAAACTCCTGACCTCGGGTGATCCGTCCTCCTTGCTCTCCCAAAGTGCTGAGATTACAGGCGTGAACCACTGAGCCCAGCCCTCTATTCCTTTTTAATACCTCAAATATCTGTAATAAAAAGTGGATGATGACACTGTCTTATACAATAATATAGACAGTGTTCCTCAAATTCCATTATTTATATCTCATCTTCACCATTTCTGCCATATCAATGATCCACCTATACACATATTTATGTAATGTTCTTCTTTAAGTAAAATCCATTCTTTAACTTGACCTCATTTTGAACAATAATATCATGATTAGTATCATTATATGTATTAAATATATAAGTAGCAGCCAGACATGGTGGCTCACACCTGCAATCCCAGCACTTTGGAAGGTGGAGGCAGGAGGATCGCTTGAGCCCAGGAGTTTGAGACCAGCCTGGGCAACACAGTGAGATCCTGTTTCTACAAAAAATTTTAAAAAATTAGCTGAGCATGGTGGCATATGCCTGTAGTACCAGCTACCCAAGAGGCTGATGTGTGAGGATTGCTTGAGCCCAGAAGGTCAAGACTGCAGTGAGCCATGATTGTGCCACTGCACTCCAGCCTGGGTGACAAGAGTGAGACCCAGTTTCAAAAACTAGAAATATATATATATACACACACGTATATGTATAATATGTAGCTTATGAAATCTTCAGGTTTCATTTCATTAATGCATTTCATTCATTAATACATATTTAAATAATACTAATACAGCACTTACTCAATTGCCAGGCATTGTGCTAAGACTTTACATTTAATCCTTACAGCAGTCCAGTGAAATTGGTATTATTACTATCCCATTTTACAGATGAGGAAACTGAGGCACAGAATTAAACAGACTTGTCCAAGGTCACCCAATTAGTTAGTAAAGGTGTCGGGAAGTCCAGACCACAAAAGGACAATGCTTCCCTGGCCCCAAGACATGGCTAGGAATATGTTTAGAAGGTCATCTGGGTCAGTCTCACGTGGGACAAGGGTCACCATATCATGCTGTGGGGCACACAGATCTATTTTATTGGAATGACCTTGCGGTCATATATTCGGATGAAGGAGGAAGGATTTACAAACAAATGTTTGCTCTCTCAGCCAAGCCATTTGGACAGAGTGGGGGCATGTTCATGGTTGCAATATGTCCCCAGATAGAGTTACAACACATGTCATGAAGAGCCGGTGGGGCTGGTGTCACCACTGGGTCCCCCACCCCAAGGTCACTGAGGGCTGGGGCCACAGTCTTTTGAGAGCCTGGCAGGGTGTGCATGCAGAGGCTTCACATCAAACCTCTCTTTGCGGTGGCTGGGAATTCCTTCCAAAATCCCTGGGGGTGGCCAGACGCACAGGGTCTGGTGGACATCACAGTTGAGGCCCCGCAGAAGGGGAACAGGTATGGTCAGAGGCCCCAACTCTGCTGTTCGAACTGTAGCCAGACTTCCTGGGGGCCATGGGGGAAGGATGCCTTGAACCTGTGTCTCCTCTGAAGGACAGGAAGAGGGCCTCCCACTATGGGTGCACACAGTCCCCTGGGGAAAGGACCTGACCATTTGGGGCCAGGCTGGGTGCCCCAACCCCGGACCCTAACCAACCGTCTCCTCTTACTTGGTGGAATTTCAGAAATCTCCCTGTGCGCAGACATCACCCGTACCGGCAAAGTGAAGCCAACCAGAGCTGTGGAAGACAAGGTACCGCTCACCCAAACGCTCCTTTCCTAGTTCTGCTGGATTCTCCCCGGGCGCCCCCTTGTGGTGATGGGGTAAATGCTGGTCTGTCTCACGCATCCCATGTTAACTGTTAAAAAAAAAAGTGGGGGGCGGGGGGGAGCGGAGAAAATTAGCATCGCCATTAATATTTTGGTTTATGTATTTCCCATCTATTTTACAAAATCAGATTTTCACCAATCGTGGGTTCAGAAAATGTGTTATCCTACGAATTAGAAACGCTACTGAGTCACCTAGTTAATACACAGCAGAGAGGAAATTCGTGGGCAGGTCTCGACTCTGGCTCAAAAACTCCCTACTCCATGTTCTATGACTGATGGGAGAGATTTCTGCAGAGCTGCCTACATGGGGCAATAACAGAGAAAGGAAGAAATGGCAGGGGGAGAGGCGGGAAGGAGCCAGGTGGGGAGACGGAGGGTGTGTTGTGGAAAGACAAGATGGTGGTATGTGCAGAAGGGACAGGTGAACGCTGTCTTAAACCAGAGTCTTCAGGTAAACCTGAAACTCCAGCGCTGCCTGCACCATTTTATGCTGGTGTGCACTGGGGGCTGTGACCTGTAAAAAGATGAAGATCCTTTGTGGGGTCAGCAAGAGTGGGAAGAAAAATTACAACTCTAGCAGTAGAACCTATCCCTGTATCTGTCCCGTAACGCAGTCATTTCCTGCGGGCAAACGCTCTCCCGCGAAGAGAAGCGCCATCGCTATTAGATCCCTATAGGGTGGGGCTGCTTAATGGGCTTTAATCTTTGGACAGATATTAACTGACTTCTAAGAATAGTACCACACTTTGCTGAATGAGTAATTAAGAGTTCACATAATAGTAACTATTTAGATTAGAATCTTGACATACATATTTAGCTGCATTTGGTTTGTCAAGCTCAACATTTTATTTATTTATTTATTTATTTTTGAAATGGAGTCACGCTCTGTCTCCCAGGCTGGAGTGCAGTGGCACCATCTCGGTTCACTGCAACTTCCGCCTCCCGGGTTCAAGCGATTCTCCTACCTCAGCCTCCCGAATAGCTGAGATTATAGGTGCGCGACTCCACGCCCAGCTAATTTTTGTGTTTTTAGTAGAGACGGCGTTTCGCCATGTTGGCCAGGCTGGTCTTG